GCCCCCGGCCCCGCCCCCGCCGCCGCTGCCCCGCAGCTGTGGGCCTCGTTGAGGTGGTCCGCCCTGAAACGTCGGGAAGCCATATGGCGGCTCTCCTCTGTCGTACTCGAATGCGAAAGGGGGTGGCCCAGGCCCTGGGGGCCCCGGTGGGCCTCTGAAGGGTGGGCCGTGGGGTGGCGGGAAGCCAGGTCCCTGGGGCGGTTCCCCAGGACCGCGCCGCCCTGGGCCGTTGCCGCCATAAGGCGGAGGCCTGCTGAAGGACCAGGGGTCCATATGAACGGCCTGGGGCAGCAGTATGTTGACTAAAACACGCTAAGTCAGGCGGCGCGCAGCCACCAGTGTGCCCCTGCACGAGGCTATAGGAGCAGCGAGTTTGCTGCAGGGTGTGCAGGCTGACGCGTCTCCCCCTGCGCCGTTCGGCCGCACCAGGCGGAGCCCCGCGCCGGCCACCAAGCACAGCTAATAGTGTCTCAGCAAATTCTAAATAAAATCTGACTTGCCGAGTTCAGTTCGGGCCGATGCCCGACGCGTGTCACCATCGATATTTTGATGTAGAAGAGTGTTCTGATCTGGGGCAAGCGCAGGAGTCAGGGACCTCGAGAACACTCAAAATCGGGTTGGCCAGGTTGCTGGCCAGCACCCCGCCGAGCGGTGCAGCAAAAGGTAACACCGCGATCTGACGTCGCATTGCATGCGTTTGCTATGGGAGGAAAAGCCTTCTAGCAGCTGCTTTGCAGCACAGAGACGTGTTGAGGCCGCGCGCTGCCGTCTGGGTCTTCGCCAGTGTTTGACTGCTGTGCCCATGCCGGCCGCCAATGAATTTGTGCCACAACCCGTGCGGCAGCCATTCAGCCCAAGCAGGCCAGGTCGTGGGTACCATAATAAGTGATCAAGGCACATAATCAGCTCTAATGCAGTGCATGAAAGGGCGGGTGCTGCGTGTGGGGAGTCAGCGCAAGTCTGATCATCTTACATTGACATACCGGTATGGGTAAGCTGCAAGGTGGCTGTTGGGAGAGAAGACCTTGATTAATAAGACATTCAGGAATCTGGTGCTGCAGGCATACAATCGAGGGTCGCGCCATAGCCCCTGGGCAAAACTCCGGTGTGCGTGAAGGATTCGTCGCTTTGTATTGATTGAACCGCTTTGTGCCGCAATGCCAGCATCCTTCAAAGCGGCTTTTTCAGGCGCCAATGCATTGACTCCTTTCAGGGACGCAAATTCCGCGACAGCCAGGGGGCATCGGTCAAGCTTGGGTCAATCCAATCCCACACTTCCTGCTGTGTTTCCTCCCTCTGATGTGCAGAGCACCGATCCGCGGCATATCATAACACTCAACTTCAGGTTTCTGGCTTGATTACAACACACATCTGTCATTCACGAGCGTGCTGCGAACAATACATCACGCTGCCCTTCCTTGGCGATCTGATCACCGCCCCCTGGCTGTATATATAGAACTCGAACCATTCCAAACGCCGGACATCACGATACGTCGGTCTCCGCGGCTTGGAACGCAGTACGCGCGCAAAGACTTACCAAGGCTCTTACGCACTCATATACCCTGCTGTTACTCACCTGTAATCTCTTAGCAATATCTCGGCGCTGTTGGTGCGCGCCAGCCGTTGCGCGATGGATGCGGAGGACGCGGCGGACATGCTGCTGCGCGCGGGGTCGTGCGGACTTGCTCGGTGGATGCCGCAGAGGACTTACACATTTGAGCAGCTGGCCAAGGCCACTCAGGTATTTTTCAAAGCGATCGGTCGCGGCACAAATCGCCTGCAACGTGCGCAGGTGCTTGTGCTTCCGTGTCGTGAGCGGCCCGCTGACCCAAATGTGCGCTTGGGCCATGTCGCGACCCCCACCTCTCAGGACTTCTCTGCAGCAAACAAGATTGCAGAGGGCACCAGAGGTCCCCTGTTCAAGGGACGGCTCGACGGCCTGCCAGTGGCAGTGAAGTACTTATCAAACCCCAGAAGCAGCAGCAGCGGGGGCAGCACAGCCGATGGCAGCGGCAGCGCCGGTGGCTCTGGCAGCAGCAGCAGCGGCAGCACAGGGCTGCTCAGTCGCTTGGGAGGCCCCCGCCGCTTCAAGCGCACTGTCCAGGCACTGGGGGCGGCACACCATCCGCATGTGGTGACGCTGCTGGGGAGCTGCCCAGAACACGCCATGCTGGTTTGGGAATTTATGGAGGGCGGCAGCCTTGAGGGGCGGCTGTTCAGCAGCTCGCCGCGGCCGCCCCTGACCTGGCAGGTGAGAGTGGTGGGCTGCACAAGGGCTGCTCTGCTTTGACAAACTCAATTGGGTGGTTGGCAGGAGGTGCTTCTGCTCGGCTGCATTTTTTACTTCTACATGCTGATGCTGGTGCTGGTGGTGGTGATGGCGCTGGCGCTGGCGCTACCGCCGCCCGCGGCACTGAATGTGCTTCACACAATCACCACACACACTTTTTGGCAAACTCGGCTTGCGACAGGAGCGGGTGCGCCTGTGCTTTGAGGTGGCGGCGGCGCTCACCCACCTGCACTCCAGCGAGCCCCCAATGGTGCATGGTGCCGTGATGCCCAGGTGACTCCATCCTGCACGCCAACATAGGCCCATCGCTACCGACCACCTGCCGCCGTGCATCCCGCAGACCTCAAGGCAGTTTGTCGATTGCTTGCCATGCAGAATCAACAACTTGCTTGACACACATGCACGTGCACGCGTGCACATTTCCTCCACAATTTCACCATTTTTGCCGCCAACTTTCACTGCCCATGCAGCAATGTTCTCCTGGATGCCCACATGAGGGCCAAGCTCAGCGTTGACCTTGCGACAGTGTCAGAGGCAGCCGCCAAGCTGCTGTGCGGGTGCGAGCTGCCGCCCCAGTTCGAGGTGCGCGCAGGATGCGTTGCTCGTGTGGCGCCACTTCGCACCAATCCTGCTGGCTGCTGGGCGTTCGTGGCGTTCAGCTGCACATACCCTCCATTGCCTATTCGGTATGGTGACGGCGCGGCGCACGGTGCATGAGCGGTCTTCGACCGCATCTTCCATACCCTATGTCAACTGCATTTTGCAGGACCCTGATACGGACAGCACCGGCTGCATGTCGCACCAGACTGACACATACCAGCTGGGCGTCACCATGCTGCAGCTGCTGACGCGCCGACACGACCCAGGCCTCTGCGCTGCAGCCGAGGCGGCCGTTGCAGCAGCAAACACTGGCGACGGCGCGTCCTTTGCCGCCTTGCTCGACGCATCGGCGGGCGCGTGGCCGCAGGAGCACGCGCTGATGTTTGCGCGCCTCGCGCTGCGGTGCGCAGAGCCGCGGCGGGCTGTGCGGCCGCCTTTGGCGGATGACGTTCTCATGCAGCTCTTTGAGCTGGTGACAGCAGGAGCGGAGCCGCCAGTGGCGGCGGCAGGCGGTGGACCTGGGGCGGCGGAGGCAACAGAACCCCCCTCGCCAGCGGCGCGGCACGAGCCGTCAGACGATGGAGGGCGGATGCGGGAGAGCAGCGACTCTGTGGTGGGGGACTTGTTTGTTTGCCCCATCACCCAGGAGGTCATGGCAGACCCTGTCGTCGCAGGTGGGCTAAGGAGACTTGTTTTGCTTTGCAGCACATTGCAGCACACAGCAACACACCTCACCACGCTGCAACACACTTGAGCAGAATGAGCGGCGCTGATTCCATGTGGTTGTCTCGCACACAGGCTTCCTGCATGCATCGCATTTGCACACGTCCTGAAAGCGCAGGGTGCTTGCAGTGCTCTGCTGACACAAGATCACCCAGCGCACATCGCTGTAGCTGGTGGCCGCCGCCGCGCGTGAGCACCCCCATCCTGCGTTGATGCTAAGTGCGCTGCGCCTACGCGCGTCTTCTCGCAGCCGATGGCTGTACGTACGAGCGGGCCGCCATCCAGCGGTGGCTGGGTGCCCACAATACCAGCCCCATGACCAACCTCCCCCTCGACAGCCACACGTGAGCGTGCGCCATTTTCTTGCCCGGTGATGCGTGTTGGTTGGAGCTTGACCCACAAATCTTTTTGCGTGCATTTACATACCTGCAAGCCATCAGGGCAACCAACATCTACGTTGACTGCAACCTGCACGCCACATAAGCAAGAGCTGTCAAACCCCCTGTGCCCTCACCCACCTCTTGACCCACACGCAGCCTGGTGCCAAACCTGAACCTGCGGTCTGCCATCAACGAATGGCTCGTGCGCACCGGCGGCCGCCGCCTCGTGTGCCCAAGCGTGCGGCGGCCCAGCCCCGGGAGCTCTGCCTCGTCATCGTCACAGGTGGGCTGAAACAACAGGGCATAGTGTGTGGCGAGAGCGCGCCAGGGCGCCATGGTTTTGCGGCAACGTGTTTGTTGAGGGCAGGCGTCGTTCAGCAGTGAAGAGAAAACACGGGGGTGTAAGTCTAAGTACACATGCGTGTGTGTTCATGCATGCATGTTCGTTTGCGTGGGCGTGGGAACAAATAAGTACAGTATGTTGTTTCAGCAGTGCAGCTGTATCTTGGACTTGAACCTCCCAACATTTGCAGGAGGTGCCCGCAGCGCGGCCGATGGAATGGGAGGGGTCAGCCACCAGCCTGCTCGCTGGCGCCACGTCCAGGGCGTTACCAGGAAACCAGCTGGTGAGTGTGCGAGGTTTATCTGCAGCCCTGGCACGCGGCACCGCTGAGTACACCAAGCCGTTGGAGGTTGCGGATGCTGGGGCCAGGAAGGGTGGTTCATTTTGTGTAATCGAGCCACACGTCCCCATCCTTGCGTGCACACCAAGCCAATCACCCCCCACACACACACACACAATTATTCCGTTGCTTATGCAGTCACCCACGCACACACTCACGAACACTCACACTGACACACGTTGACTCGCAAACACGCACAAACCCCATCCCTGCGCATCCGCAGGACGCCGAACTCAGGGCCGCCTGCGCGCGCGGGGACGCCCACCACGTGGCGGAGCTGCTGGCCAGCGGGGCGAGCGCCGTCACCGCCGACGCGCGCGACGGCCACACGGCCCTCCACTGCGCGGCGCAGGGGGGCTCGCTGGCAGCCGTGGAGCTGCTGCTTGGCTGCGGCGCGCAGGTGAGTGAGGGTTGGCAGGCCGACGGGGAGCTCAAGCCCCAATTCCATTGTCAGGAGGCAGTAAAGTTGTGTCAGTGCAGTGCCACGCTGGACCCAGCGGTCAGCATCACTTGTGTGCACTTTCATCCACGTGTGATCCAGAGCTCTGAGGCAGCGCCCCTGCGGCTGCCGGCCTGTGGGTGTGCTGCTATGCAGGTCGACGCAGTCGCGCGCGACGGCTTCACGACCCCGCTGTTGCTGGCCTGCATGGGTGGCCACCAAGAGGTGGTTCTGCGCCTGCTGTCGCGCCGCGCGTCCACCAGCGGCGCCGTGGCAGGCGCGTGGAGCCCGCTGCACGCGGCCGCGGCCTGCAACCGCGAGAAGGTGATGTGGGCATAGGGTGGGGCTGGGGGCACGTGGCGATCCCCGGCACGCTGATGCTCCCTTTGCACCCAGGTCCCATGGCCCCAAGGCACGCCTGTGTTTGAGTTCGCGGCGCTCGAAGCGTGCGGAAGTAGCGGTGTGATACCGAGGCGCTGATGCAGCCTGTTTTGCCCCCGACCCAACACATTGTCTTCAAGCTTACAACGTACGCACTGGCGTACAACACCCTTCGCCTTCCCTTGCCACTCACAGGTGGTGGAGATCCTGCTGCACTTTGGCGCAGACGTCGCCGCGGTCGACGCGAGGAGCGGCCAGACGGCCGAAGACGCGGCGTTGAGGCGGGGCCACCGCAGGGTCGCAGGGCTGCTCGCGTACACGCGCGGGGCAGGGCGGTGGTGACCGGGGAGCCCCTCGCTTTCAGCTCAAACGTGGCGAGGCCGGCTCGTGCTGGCTTGGTCGCCAGCGGCCTGGGTCGCGATGTGATGGCGGCTGGGCGGCGAAGTGCGCTGCAAGTGTGACTTTCAACATCGCAGCTGATGTGACTTTGGGATGTTGTGTGCACGCAGGAGCGCCCTGCTGCGTTAGTGCACTTGCGGTGCTTGCAGACGGCCGTCTCGGGCTGGAGCGGTCCCTGTCTTCATTAGTATTTCGCAGCGTGCCCCTGCCGTCTACTGACCTACACAGATCAGAAACCGCCGCCTGCGGTGTCCACCTTGCCTACTTCCGCCACATCATCAAGGCACGCCCTGCAAAGCGCACGCGCCCCGCGTGGGATGCTGTGTCACAGCCGGTGGTGACGCAGCGCCGGTGTCGAGCGCAAGGGGCGACTGGCGTCCCTCGGCACACATGGACTGGGGGCTTTCACAGTAGAGTGGTTTACTTGCAGCTTCGCTTGCAGAGAACGATGGGCGCGTGACACAGCATCCTACTTGCCCTCGCCTGGTGATTTGACTCGACTCATCGGTGCGCCTGAAATGGCTTGACATTGACTAACTTGACTGGTCGAATCTGGGCCAGACTGCGAAGGGTCTGGGACATTGGATTTGCAACCTCAAGCAAGCATGCAGCTCCTTTTCTCATTCGTTCAGATGCGCCGCACAACGGACGCAAGCGTGTTTCACGGACGGGGCCTTGAGGCCTGGGCCCAATCGGCCGGCGCTCTGTATGCTGCTTGCATGCTGCAAGGTGTAAGCAATGGCCAACCTGGCAGTGCAGGGGGCGCAATGCCTGCCTATGAAGCCGCAGAGAAGCAGGATGGGGCTTGACGCGCTGCCTGCCCACCAGTGCGGGAGATGCGCCGCAACTGCCAACCACCTCAGCCGGCGCCTCCCGCACCAAACGCCCATCCAGCGGCCACCGCGGCGGTCAGGGGCACCGTAATGTTGTCGACCTCCTTGACAGGCAGCGACTCAACCAGCGCCGCCGCGGCCGCGCAGAGGGCGCAGCCGGAGGAGAGCTGCGCCGCTGACAGGTGCCCCACCCCTAAGGGTAAGCCGAAGGCCCGCAAGTACATGATGATGCCCAGGCTGGCCGCCCAGCTGCCGACCAGGCAGGCAAAGCTTCCGGCCCAGGTCTGCATATATAGTGTATGCCAAGACGAGAGTCTTGGCTGGGGTATGTGTGATCAGGACATTGCAAAAGCCCGTGGGTGTGGTGTGTGTCGATGTGTCAATGGCTCTGTGCAGGACAAATTCAGTCATCCTGTGTGCTGCCACGGCGGTCTAAGCGCAGGCTGTTGGCTCCCAAAGAACATGCATACCCACCGCCCCGCGCTCTGGCGCACCTTCCCGCGGCTCCACGGCAGCGGCCCCAGGGCGCCGACCCCAAACCGCCGCCCCGCCACATCAGCAAGGCCGTCCCCCGCGCACAGGGCTGCGAGCGCCACGGCCGCTGCGGGGCCGGATGTGAAGCATGCAAGCGCAGCCAGCGTGTGCGCGGCACCATACAGCGCAGGGCCTGCCAGCAGCTCCCGACGGTCCCCTGCCCTCTGCGCGCATGGCGGCAGGACTGGGACTCAGTAATTTGAGTCGTAGGAAAGATTGACAGGGGGTGTATGCTGCGGGCTCACAAGCGCATGCATGGTCTCTTGCACGAAATGTGTCATGGATACGCAGCAAGCGCTTGTGGCATGCATGCGCGACAAGGGCATGCATGTGAGATCTGTTTGGCACCACATGCCCCCACCGTGGCCGACGCCACGAGCTGTGGGTCTGCCAGGGCGCCCGACCCAACGGCCAGGAAACGCAGCGTCATCGCTCCAGGCACCGCGGCCGCCCAGTAGCTTGCAGAAGGGGCCGGTCCGAACATGGGCCACGTCGCCATGAACACGAGGCCCGTGGCTTTTGGGAGTACAGTATGCCAGGTTGCGGAAGGACATTGCATCGTTGGCAGCACACTTGGAACGCCAAAGCAAGCTATGATAGCAGCAACTGGCGCATGCGCTCGTCTGCAACGAGCAGTTACACGTGCCACGGGGGGCGCATGCTTGGTTCCACCCACCTGTGTGCATCAGCTTGCGCGCGGCGAGGCTGCCCAGTGCACCCGCGCGGCGCAGGCCCTGGACGCACTCGACCACGCCCACCGCGATGGCCAGTGCCGCGAGCATGGCAACGGGCCCTTGCCATGCGGTGGCCTGCTCAACACTCATCGAATGGCTGGGCGCAGGCCTCCCAGATTTTACTGGCGGTTGCGTCCCGCCGTCTCCACGTGCGTCACCAAGCTGGACCCGGTGTTGCCCCAACAAGAATGCAAGCAACCTCAGAGCTGCTACTGGCCAATCCTCCCACAAAATTTAGCTTCATGCGGCTCAGGTTGACCTGTTCACAAGACAATCCGGCACAGACTGCCTCAGATCAAACCGCAGCTCAAGCGTAACGGTATCATACTGTGTCATACATTGATCAAAAAATCGATTGCTATACATAGATCTTGCAAGCTTTGCAAAGCGCAGCTCAGATCCTGATTGTTGGATTGGACTCAGGCAGATCTATCTTATCTTTCGCCAGCAGGTGTTTTTCTCAAAGTTTTGCCTGCACGTCCAACAAACCGGTGTCTTCAGCAAGTCAGCGGTGGTGGCTGGAGGGTCGTTTGCCGTGGCGCGTAGCGACGCTTGCTGTGCTGCACAGCACTTGCTGCCGCTGCTGCTCGTTGCTGCCCGTGGGGGGGCCTTGCCGTGCCTGCATCTGCTGCGGGCCGGCGGCTTCAATACAAGAGGCATATCAAGCGGATGGCGGACTACTACCAAGCGGCACCGGTGAGTGGTACCGCACCATCTCCAGACTGTCCGCGTTGCCCGCGTGTCCAGCTGCGCTGCAGCATGCCGCCTGCAGCTACCTCCTTTACCGCCGCCACCGCTGCCCTGGCCGCTGCTGCGGCGCTGCAGACCGCTACACGGCTACGCAACACGGAATATGTATACCCTGTGGTTATAGGCACCATCGCATTCGCCCTGGGCAAAAAGGTGCGCACTGCCAACACCTGGCCCAGCTGGTGCCCGCCGCCGCCTGGGCGCCGCCGTTGGTGCCGCTGTAGCTGCAGGAGCAGCAGCTGCTGCTGCCGTTGGTGGTGGTGATGGTGCTAGGGTAGGTTGGCCGGGGGACCCGCTGCGGGAGCAGCAACGGAGCATTGGATGCATCGCCGCTGTTCGCACCCTCCGACCCCTCCCAACGCTCCGTCCCGCCATGCACCATGTCATGACGCCGCGTGGCGGCCCCAGGCGACCGACACAGCCACCCACCGGTGGACAGCCTACGTGCGGGGCGCCAATAACGAGGACCTGTCTCCGCTCATACAAAAGGTGGCCACCCCTGAGTAGGCCATGTGCTCACGCCCTGGGCGATATCTGCTCGCACCAACCCAACCCAAGCATTGCTTTCAATGCGCACCAAGCCGCTGCTGCCCCCGGACCTGGCGCTCTGACTACCAATTCGACGCGCTCCATGCCAGCGCTGAGCATGTAACCGCCGCCTCATGTCCCGACGCCGCTCACTGCGCGCCCCCTCCCAATCGCCACCGTGCAACAACAGGTGACGTTCAACCTTCACGCGTCCTTCAACAACCCGCAGCGCATCATCCATGCGCCGCCCTTTGAGCTGACAGAGGAGGGCTGGGGCGAGTTTGAGATGAGCATCGTGGTGGGTGCCTGGGCTGCGCCCACGGGGGCTGGGCGGGGGCTTTGGTCTGCATGCAAGGCGGGCGGCCAGCGTCAGGCAGGAGCGGCTCGCGAGGAGCAGCAGCAAGCATGCCTGGTGTTGAAGCAGTGGCCGACAGCCCCGTCGTTCTGCGGTGAACCCTTGAGTTCGTGCATCCCTCCTGCGCCCCGCTCATGCACTATCCTCCCCTCCAACTGGACTGATTTCGCCCCTGTCACGTCCGCCCTCCCGGCCCCTTGCGCGTGCACCCCCGACCGGCCAGCTGCACTTCCAGCCTGACGCCCAGGAGGGCCCCATTGAGGTGTTCCACCACCTGCGGCTGTACGAGGAGGGGGAGCCGCAGGGCCTGCCGCTGCCCGCAAACAAGAAGCCCGTCATCAGCGTGAGCGCGGGGCGGCTAAGGGGAGGGGGGTAAAGAAGTGGAGGGGGAGGCAGACGGCACTGAGGGTGGCGGCGCGCTCGGGCGAGTGCTCAGGGCGGGGCTGTGGCCTTGCTTGGGGGGCCACGAAGCAAGCGCGGGCGCACGGGCATTGCTGTCACTGTCTCCTCAGGACTGGTGTAGCGGACCCGGCTAGGCTGCCGCGTTGGCAGTCCTTGTTGTCTCGTTTTGTCTCTCACACCACTCGTCAATGCGCTCGCTGACGCCCCCTCCCAATCGCCGCCCCCCTTCAGGAGCAATATGAGGAGTTGGTCTTCAGTGAGCCTCATGAGGCCTTCTACCGGCGCCTCATGTCCACACCGCAGAGGGCGCTGCAGGCAAGGGTTTGGGGAAACGGGCCGCCGGGGTTTGTGTGGCCGTCTGCGGCCTTGCAACTGCGACACGTGCTTAGCGTGCTCGGTCGCAGAGCATCGCTCAGCCACACCCAGTGGGGCACGGCCAGCGTGCGGCATATACCGCTGCGCGCAGCTGTGTGCGCACCGGCCCAACCACGCGCGTGCAAACAATATGATGTCATCACTCCTTCCCAGGTGCCGAGCATAATCGGACCCCATGCGGGGCGGCCGGAGAACGAAGCGGCTGAGCTGCAGCTCATAAATGAGGTGAGTGGCTGATGGTGTCAGCCGAGGCAGCGGGGGGCCCTTAAGCTGGGGGCTCGGGGGAAAGCAGGTGTTGGCCCGAGCAGACCAAATTCCGTGACCCTGCTTGCTGGGCAGATGGCGTTGCGTCTGCTGAGCAGTCGTGGCAGTCAACGCGTTTGGCCGCAAAATGTGTGTGTGTGTGTGTGTGTGTGTGTCTGACCTTGCCCCAACCCCTTTGCCCTTGCTGTCGCCGCTGCCCGGCACCCCAGGCGCGCCAGCGGGTAGCCCAGGCAGTGGCCACGGTCAAGAACGCCGCGGCCATCGAGCAGCAGGCCGCACAGCAGGCCGCGCAGGCGGCGGCGGCGGCAGCGGCAGCGGCGGCCCAGGGGGTCATAACGCATGGGCAGCCCATGGGGATGTGAGGTGGCCCGCTGCCCTGCAGCTTGGCTGGCCAACCGCGCCTCCTCTTCAACGGCTGCGGTGCGGCCACACGTGCGCGCATCATGTGCAGCGCACTGCGGGCAGGCGGCCGCTGCTCATTGTGGTGTTGCGTTCTACGAGGCTACGTGGCACTACTGCCGACACTTCTCTGATTCGTTTGGCTCGTGCACCTCCAGCAGTGCTCCATGCATAAGTAGGCTGCGGCCCCCCTTTCGAGGCATGTGGGGACAAGTCCCAGCCCCAGGGTATTGCCAGTATTACACGCCCTTGAGGACGCCCTGGCGCCGGATGCGGCCGTAGAGCAGCGTCACCATTAGCCCTCCGGCCGCGGCCGTCCCCACCTGCCACGCCGGCGTCGCAAATGCCTGCGGTCAAGGGGTGCCACAGGCAGCGGGCGCACCCGTCCTGCGTTTTAATTAGGTGTGATTGAGCGTGGGTACGGGACGACGGCGCATCGCTCTGCGCACCCATCGATGGCTGTGTTTTTGAATGGCTGCTGGCGGCAGCGTGCACCCCACCCCTCCCATCGCTTTCGCTTCGTACCTTGTAAACGGCTTTGTGGGGCAGGGCGATCTCAATAGTTACGAGAGATAGCCCCCATGTCAAAGCGCCGAGCTATGGAGGGTGCGGCGCCGCACAAGGTCAGTCGATGTGAAAGAGCAGGCGGGTGTTGCTGACATGTCAATCCAGAGTACTTGTACCCCAAACGACGACAACAGCTGCTCCATGTTGGCGCCCGCCGCCGCCCCATCGCTGAGCCACCCACCACTCTGTGCGCCTTCTTTAGTCGCGAGTGCCACTGCTCTGGGAACCGCTGGAGGAGGCCCAGCTTGCGGAAGGAGATCGCCCCCAGCAGCGGCGACAGGCCAGTCAAGACGAGCGTCAGCAGCCCCAGCTGCGATGCAGAAGAGCGAGAAGGTCCGATTGTACGGGGCTCAGGAGGTGGCCTGTGGTGGTGCGAGGCATCTGTGTGCGGCGTTCGAAAGCGCGACGCTTCAACCTGCACGCGGCCGGGAGCTGGTGGCAAGGCGCGCCACGACCTGGATCGGGCCCGGGCTCTATCTCGCCGCTAACCACCAGCGGCGCGCCGGCCGGCGCTCCCCCCCCCCCACCTTTCCGTGGAGCGTCTTGAAGTGGGCCTTGTGGTTCAGGTTCTTGTTGTGGATGATGACGCCCGCACCGATGGCTATCAGGACGACAGCGCGCAGCTGCGAACGCAAAGCGCAGCGCAGCCGCGCCGGTTGGTGGATGTGATTGTTGCCCACTGGGCAGCGCTGCTGTTGTTGCGCGCCTTCTAGGGGATTGGCAGAGCCACCAGCCGACCGTTGCACGCCGTCGCACAGCACGACACCGGCGGCCGCCCAGCAAGGCGTACACATGCACACAGCATGCCTGCAGAGAGGGCAGCCCTCAGCAGCTGGCAGGGGTGAGGGGGGCCTCAATGGGCAGAGGCGCACCTGCATTAGCGCATGCATGTCGAGGCCCCGCAGCCGCTCCTCCCCGGCCGTGGTGCGTATGGCCCACGCCGATATGAGGCCCTCCCCCATGAAAAAGAGGTACCCGATAGCCATGCAGAAAGGGTGCCTGAGCGCGGGTTGTGGCGGTGCGGGCGCGGCGCTGGTTGGGTGTGCACCAACCCAGGCAGCAGTCCAGGCACACATGGCACCCGCTTCACAGCCCGTCTCTGCCAAACCATACCAACGTGCTTTATACGTTTCCACGCACCATCCAAAGAGAGTGCCGTTGTATGAGCTGAATGCCAGCGACAGGGACAGGACGAATAGCAAGAAATGCAGCACGTTGGGCCACGCCGCGACGCGGCGTGCGCGCACGGCGACTGCTTCCAACATTGCGTCAGCTGGTTGGAACAGTGCAAGGAACGATCAAGCACTGGCACGTCTTCCGGCAATCGAGACGTTGCGCTGCTATGGACCGAAACTCCCCTGGCGGGATTCTGGCTCGTGCGGTCAGCGTCGACGATGCGGGCGCCAAAATCGGCGCCTCACGGCGAGCGCCGTACCGGGCCGTTCCGGCGGCCGGTGTGCCAACTGGCCCCTCAAAGCATCTCAGATTCCCGAGCCTTCGTTAGAGTGTATTGGCTGCAACTATAAGAGGGCGGTTCCAGTCTGGTAACCACCATGTGCGTGGTGATCTGGGGAATTTCCGAAGCAAAAGCAATAATACAACTAGGTCGCGATTCATATCCACATATTGCAGTCCGAAACCTGACTTGTCACCCGCTCACTGGCCTTGACACTGCCAATCCGCCTCTTGTGCCTTTGCCCTCCGTTTGCAAGCCTTTACCGAGTACCGTATGATGTGTGATGGTGACTGGTTTCACAGTACAGCTGGCCTGATACTGAGCTCGTCCCAGGCTGTTCACTAGTAGATCTGGCGCAGTGGTCGGTGTGGATGAGGGGCGTGCCGGACATGGTGCCATAATAATACGGTATCTGTAGACACTCTAGGAGCAGCAGGACGCCATGGGTGAGCGGGGGGGGCGCACGCTCCCATTGCTCAGTGGTGTCGTCGGTTGGGCAACAGCAGGCGTCCTTTAGCGTGTGCAACTTGCGCAGGGAGTATAGATGTTGGCATATAGCACGGCAGGGACGCCGGCGGTGCTGGCAGCGAGTGCCGCTCCTCTACATCACAGCAGCACACCCCAACTCCTGCCGTGGCACGCCCCGAGCTGCCCAACGCCCGCCCTCCTCTCGCCGTCCCGGGCCCCTTGTGAACTCCAGGGATTCCCAAGTTCTACCGGTGGCTCTCTGAGCGCTACCCGCTGCTTAACATGTCGGTGGCGGCGACAGAGGCGCCGCCAGAGATCGACAACCTTTACTTGGATATGAATGGCATCATCCACAACTGCACGCACGCCAATGACCCCAATCTGAAGCTGACGGAGACGGAGATGGTGGTGCGCATATTCACATACCTGGACAAGCTGATTCAGATTATCAAACCGCAGAAGCTGGTGTTCATGGCCATCGACGGTGCGGGCCCTCTTGTGGGGTGTGACAGCCCACTCAGCTGCGTGCTGCGGGCAGGGCACCGCATGCCGGTTCTTGCTACCGCTTGGCTGGCGTCCTGAGGGCACATATCAGCAGCTGCACATGCGCATTTGCAGCTATCCGCTCCTCCGGGACAGGGCAGCACGCCGCCTCGCGCCTCGTCACTGTGTCGACACCCGCGCAACGCTGCGCAGGCGTCGCCCCTCGGGCCAAAATGAACCAGCAGCGGGCTCGGCGCTTCAAGTCGGCCAAGGAGCGGGAGGCGGTGAGCTGCGTGGCCCTCCAGGGGCGGCTGGGGGCTGTTGCGGGCAGTTTTCCACGCCGCATTTGATGTTCGCGGTGCTAGTGCAGCCGCTACAGTGGGAGCCTGCGAAATGCGCGGGCGGTGGCGGTCGCAGCAGCACTAGCGATGGCATCGGCGGCCGCAGCAGACGCTTGCCATGTCAGCAGCGCTTTTTTTGATGCGCGTTGCCCCCAAGCACTCGAGAGGGGCAGTAGTTTGCGGCACGGAGCCCGCACCACGCCCTGGTGAGCGGATGCTCCCCGCAGCCGTGGGCACCCACCACCCCGCGCCCGCAAACCCTTGACAAACGCAGCGCGAGGCGGAGATCAAGGCGCGTGGCGAGGAGATTGATCCCGCCACCGCATTCGACTCCAACTGCATCACGCCGGGCACGCCCTTCATGGACCGGCTGGGGCGGCACCTGCGCTTCTTCGTGAGTCCCCAAGGCCGCACACATTGGGGAACGGCGCACTGCTAGGGCTGCTGCAGCGCACGTTCACCGCAAGCAATCCGGCGGCGGCCGGATTATCGCGCCTGCCTTCATCATTCCTGCTCCGCCTGCCGCTGCATATGTGCAGCGGCAGGCCCATGCACGCGCCGGACGAGCAAGTCATACGCACGTCTAACCTCATGCCTTGTGGCGCCGCCGATTGCGGCCGTTCTGTCCGCAGGTGCGCCGCAAGATGGCGGAGGACCCTGTGTGGCAGAAGCCCAACGTCATCTTCAGCGGTGGGCTGCGGGGCGCAGCGGGCGCTGAGGCGGCCAAGCTGAGGGGCCCCCTGCGCACATGGCCCGCCGCAACTCCGCATACGAGCGCCCAGCCTCGTTTTGCCGCTCACCCGTTCATGCGGCATCACACACACCTATCCCTTGTCAGGCACAAGCCGCACACGCACATATACAAGCACAAACACACACGCAACAACACACCCACACATGCACACACAAAAATTTGCACACACACAACCGCGCATGCACAGGCATGCATATGATCTCCGTATGCAACACCTTGTCGTGCGCAAACCCCTCTCCTGCTTCCCTCTTCCCTAGGCCACGAGGTCCCTGGAGAGGGGGAGCACAAGATCATGGAGTACATCAGGTGGCAGAAGCTGCAGCCGGGGTACCCCCCGAACCAGCGCCACTGCATGTACGGCCTGGACGCTGACCTCATCATGCTGTCACTGGTGACGCACGAGCCGCACTTCTGCCTGCTGCGAGAGGTGGGCGGCTTGAGTGTGGCTGTGGGCGTTGTGTTTGTGTGTGAGTGTATGTGTGTGTGTGTGTGTCTGTGTGTGTGTGAGCGAGAGCATTTGTGACAGGGTTGAGTGGGCACATCGGTGTCATTGTTGAGGTAAGAGACAAGCTTTAGCCTGCCGTGAAAGATTGTGCGCATGCAAAACGGCAGCTGTGGCTTGGAATTGTGTGACATGTGGATGTGTCCTGCACTCGTTTTCCGTTCTGTGCAGCTCAGCCCGCACAAAAGCACTCTACCGCTTGTGTGCATGCTGGCCAGGAGGGTGCGATGGCGAGTTGACCTGTGCCGTCCGTGTTGGCCCCACAAACCGGCCGAATGACCGCGCCCGCCGCCGCGCAGGTGGTGGCGTTCTCGGGGCGCTCCCGCGGCCAGCCGACGCGCGAGACGCTGGACAACCCCTGCGCTGAGAACTTCATCCTCTTCCAGATCGGGTGCGCCGCGGACTGCCCCGCGGACCCCCCCCGCGGACTGCCCCGCGCCGCGGCTGCAGCGGGGCCGTCGACGCCCTGTGCAGCTGTGCTCCCGTAAATCGCTTAGGGTTTGCGGCAGCTCCCAACAGGGCACTTCGGCCGTGCGTGATCACCCATATCATGGGCCTGCCATCCTGCGTCAAATGCTTTGATGGTGCCACTCCTCACCCCCAATCCCCCCGCAGCCTGCTGCGCGAGTACTTTGAGGTCGAGTTCGGCCTGGTGGGGCAGCTGCCCTGGGCCCCAGGCGGCTTGGTGGACGTGGAGCGCGTGGTGGACGACTTTGTGCTGTTCTGCATGCTGGTCGGGAACGACTTCCTGCCGGGTGCGGCGCGCGCGGCGCGCGCAAGGCACCCGGGCCGGGGCCGCGAAGGGTTGTGGGTTGTGGCTGGGGCAGACGGCTGTAGTGCCAGGGGCCGGAGTTAGTCGGCGGTGAAGTCGTCCCAGCCCACGGTGCCGATCAACGTTGAAGCGGCGCGTCCTGTGCAGGGAGTCGACGATGCTGGCCGATCGACTGCCAGGCTGGTTTGGCCGTGTGTTTTCTGGTTGATGCATGACTGGGCGCCTCGCGCTGGTGCCTTCGCCTCCTCCACCGCTCTCCACCCGCCCAGCCCTGCCCACCATGGACATCGCGGAGGGCGGCCTCAACAAGCTCATCACCATGTACAAGGACGCGCTGCCGCAGGTGAGTTTGACCGGGTCAACGCAGAAGTGGGGCGGGTGGTGGGCGAGCAAGAGGGCAGTGGTGCGGGCGGGCCCAATGGGTGGGAGTTGGTGCGTGGACCTGCACACACCTGGTGCCCCCAGCTGCCTTTTCACTCATGCACACACACGCACACACACACACTCTCTCTCTCTCCGACACACACACACACACACACACACACACACACACACACACACATGCATTACAACCTCCCAGCTGGGCGGCTACCTGACGGATGCGGGTGACCTGCACCACGGCCGCCTGGAGGTGCTGCTAAGGCAGCTGGCAGAGCTGGAGATGGCCACGCTGCAGGTGCGCGGGCCGTACAAACCGGTGGTGCAGGCAAGAGGTCCAATGCAAGAGGTTGTGGGTCTAATTCGGCGGCGCAGGCGGTGCGGGAGATGGGCCGTGGATGCGTCAGGGATGGGTCTAGGGCCCCGCCACGTGCAGCGGGACGTGGCGCAAGTGGCTGTTGTCGCGTGGCTGCGCCAGGGTGCATGGGTGGACCGCGGGGGGAGGGGAGGCGCTGCTGCATGCTTGGTTTGCCTTTCCTGGGCGCATCGGAGATCGCGCGCCGCGCGACGCTGATTTGCCTCGTGCCGACTGCACCTGTCACGCGCACAGGAGCGCGCGGAGGACACCGAGTGGTTTGAGAACAAGAAGCAGAAGCGCGGCGGCGGGCGCGGAGGAGGCGGCGGCGGCGGCAGCGGCACGGGCGCGAGCCTGGGTGGCTTTGGGAAGGTGCGGCCCGGCAAGCTCCCCTCCCCCAATCTCAGCTCTGTTTGCGTTGCGCGCTTCTTGGCAGGTGGTCCTTCGTGCAGTCCCATTCTTCTCCTCTTTTCGGCAGCAGCTTGCCTGTGGGCTGTGCACAATCTTTTATCACACACACACACACACACACACACTCACACACACATACGTGCATACTGACACGCACACACGCCTAAACCCCTCAGCTCCGCGACCCGGGCCTGGCGGCGCTGGAGGGCGGCCTGCTGGACCCCCTGGCCGGGGCGGCCCTGGAGGACGAGGAGGACGAGGAGGAGGCCAAGGCGCAGGTGGGCGCACGCAGGCGCCGCCGCCGGCCCCACCTCGCTCCACCCTGGAGCAAGGGGGTTGGCGAGCTTTTGCTGGGAGGGCGAGAAGTCCCAGCGGATGCGGCTCTGTCGTGAGCGCTGCTGGAGGCTGGCAGCGTCGAGGGCATCCGTGGCGGGGCCATGCGAGGCGACCGCCCTGTCTCGGCGCTCCGCAGCAACGCGCGCGCTCGTGGCCCCGCTGTGAGCACCGGCCGTCCCCCCGCCTTCCCAACGCCTTCCCGCACCCGTGCACAACCCGTGCACTCGAAGGAGCCCACAATGATGAGCAAGGAGGCGCGCGCCATGTTTCTCGCGGGGGAGGGCGGCGCGGCCCTCGAGGCCTGGAAGGTGCGCCGCGGGGGCAGGGCGAGCACACCGTTGCAGCCCGACTTCCGCGGGGCAGGGGATTCAGGGTTTTGCCACGCGCGTGCAAGGAAGGGTGCGCGGCGAATGGAGTACCTGGCAACACCTGGGGGCACGCCGGGCGCCCCCCGTCTCCCAATCGACTCCCATAAAACCGCCTGGCTTCTGTTGACCAGATATCAACATATGCCCCCCTCCGCCTCCCCTTCCCTCCCCGCCTCACGCAATTGCGTTGCCCTCAGAAATTCCAAACCAGCTCAACCCAAGACGTCCGCCCCCATTTCCC